GCAAAGGAATTTTGACCATACAGTCAATTTCTCCAACCATATGATTCTGCTTTCGCGAAGAGCACATATGTTTTAAGTGAGTTTGTGTAATGTATCGTGTATGAAGCAAAAAGCGTGTGCCTGGTGCTTAAAAACGACGCATAAATTCTTTGCTCACCTCACTCGATTTTTAGGTTGCAAATAAAGAATCATCCCAGTTAGTCTTGCCATATCGCTTGAAAAGTAAACATAAGGTAAACCATTATCATATAATTTATGAGATTTGAAAGTAAATTCAAAGTTCAAATGCGCTCGATTTTTCCATACAAGCAAGAATATGATCACCCCAGACAGTCTTGCCATATCGCTTGAAAAGTAAACATAAAGTAAACCATTATCATATAATTTATGAGACTTGGAAGTAATTTCAAAGTTCAAATGCGCTCGAGTTTTCCATACAAGCAAGCATATTATCTACGTTATCTGGCAGCATTTAAATTCATTCTTTGCAAATTTATATATAAAATATACATACAGTCAATAAATAACTAAATATACACATAACCTCGCATAATAATAATAATATATTGAACAACTCTATATATAAGATCATGTAATATAAAAAAAGCAATTAAGATAATAAAACAGGCAACTAACCCTAAGATTTGAAAGAAGTTGTCTTTGTTATGCACCTTCCATTACCGCTCGATTCACCTACGATTTAGCCAAAGCACATTTTACGATATTCCGATTTATGCAGACTATTTTCCAGTAGGCACGTTAGAGGTTTGATATATTTCCCTAGACTATCATTACCTTCCGTATTTATTCATAGAAAATTATTGATTATTAATATTATTCTTGCTACTTTCGATGAGATGTATAGTTTTTATTTATTTGACAATTGTCTCCAATTTTTCGCATCACCATTGGGAAATTGAATCCCATGCTTTAGCATTTATTTTAAATAGCTGCTTGTTCGGAAAATACATGACACTTATGCAGCTTTAGTTATCATTACAATGTAAATTTAATATTAAAATTAATTTTAGTTTAAATTAAAAATTATGTGCATTTTCTTAATTTTTTTAAAGTTTTTTTCTCATGTCATTAGTTAGCATACTGTCGGAACCTTGCTTCGACTTTTACTTCTTCTAAATAAATCAGTTAGACCGACTTTTGAGAAACATTCGCAAGACATAAAATGCATCATAACGATCACGTCCGATGTACATCATTCAACGGGTCGTACGAACGGATATTGTGCGTAAAGAGCATGGACGTAATTAATACGAGTTAATGACTCCCATTTATTGAGAATTCCAAGCTCTTGTGAACAGTTTTAGTTCATAATCCTAACATGAAAGGGATTAAGCGGTTTGCGCGACTAAGAAATACACGTTGATAATCTCATTGCAGCGCTTGTGCTGCCAAGGACAGCTAAGAACACCACAGCTTTGTCAGATAAGAGTTAAACTCTTAAACGATCTAAGTAATTAAGTAATTGATATAATGCTTTTCGCAGTCGTCGTACTTCACGAACCAGGAAAAGCCAATTCTCGTTTTTTTTAAGGCACTCTGAACGATCCAATCTCTAACATGGCCCAAATGTATACGCCATACAAAACCCTAAGCGCACATTATACATAGGTATATAACGTTACGTACTTGCTGTAGAAGGCTCGGACTAGCCCACCAGTTCACTGTGCGGCTGTTTTATTACATCTAAGCAATTTTTGCATTTAGACTTTTTCACCTTGCTCTTATGAACGTACTGTTAAATCTGGGTCACAAGTAAACTACTTTCCATAATTTCTAACACCCTATCGTCTTTCAAACTGTTGTTTGCATGTTCGTTTGTGATATCTTCCCATAGTACTTCTAATTCTAGATCATAGGCGGTAGTAAAGTTTAGCATTTCGTCATTCCCTTTCTCACAATTCCTCGTCTTACGCTGAAATTCTTGAATTATAAATAAAATTTTACTCTATAAAGTTTGTCGATATGAAGTTTGGTAAACTCACGTATTATCAACTTAATTTTTCGTTTATTTTATGCGGAACAAGGTAAACTGTAACACAGGATGTGTAACTAAATATTATAAGAAATATGGAAGTAAATAATGAAGTTCAATAGTAAGCCTAAAGTTATGTGTATGGACGCGCCTTTGATAGGGACAAAAAAAAAATTTTTTTTTCCTTTTTGAATTTACTTTGAACCATTTTTTACGCTTTTTTTTCTTCGCATTAATTGACCAGAACGGACTTTTCTAAAATATATGAAATGTCTTTCCGATGCTCTTCAAGTTCTATTATACTTCTATTTACGAATCCCCGTCAACTAATTGCTTTTTAGACTTAAAAAATGGCCGCTTAATGTAGAAACGCCTTTGCTTTCCAAAATATGTCAATAGTGCTAGCATTTGCCATATATTAGTTTGGGGAGAAAGAAATCCATTATTTTTTCGGTAGATGACTGCACTGGTAGATTTCCCGTAAAGTATCGATCAAACAATTTCAGATTTATGCTCGTTGGAAAGGTGACATTTCGCAGTAAAAAAAATTCTTTTGCTGTTTTTTGTTTGGTGCATTCAGTTGTGAGTTACAGCGGGTTAAAAATGGAAGTGAACAAAGAGAAAATTCGGTACATTTTACAGTTTTTCATTGACAAAGGCGAAAATGCAAGCCAGGCGGCTGAAATTGTGAATGGTGTTTATGGTTCCGATACTGTAACAGCCAATTATGTGCAATTTTGGTTTCGTTGATTCCGTTCAGGAATTTTCGATGTTAAAGATGCACCTCGCACAGGTAGGTCGGTCGTGCAAAATGTCGATAAAATCGGAGAAATGATCGAAGTTGACCGGCATGTTAGCAGTCGTAACATCGCCCAGGAGCTAAAAATCGACCATAAAACAGTTTTAAACCATTTACACAAAGCTGGATTCAAAAAGAAGCTCGATGTTTGGGTGCCACACCAATTAACAGAAAAAAACATGATGGATCGAATTTCCATCTGCGAAGCCTTGGCCAAACGGAATGAGATAGACCCATTTCTTAAACGGATGGTGACTGGAGATGAGAAATGGATCACATACGATAACCCTGTGCGAAAACGATCGTGGTCAAAGAGCGGTGAAGCGCCTCAAACGGTGGTCAAACCAGGACTAACGGCCAGGAAGGTTTTGCTATGCATTTGGTGGGACTGGAAGGGGATTACTTATTATGAGTTGCTTCCATATGGCCAAACGCTAAATTCTGATCTCTACTGTCAACAACTGGACCGTTTGAAGATAGCGATTGACCAGAAACGGCCAGAATTGGCCAACAGGAGAGGCATTGTGTTCCACCAGGACAACGCTAGGCCACACACATCTACAGTGACTCGCCAGAAACTTCGGGAGCTTGGTTGGGAAGTTTGAATGCATCCGCCAGACAGTCCGGACTTGGCACCAAGCGATTATCATCTTTTTCTTGCATTGCAAAATTTCTTTAATGATAAAAAATTGGAATCTAGGGAGGATTGTGAAAATCGACTACTAGAGTTTTTTGCAAATAGAGACCAGGACTTCTATGAGAGAGGCATTTTGAAGTTACCTTTAAAATGGCAACAAATCATACAACAAAACGGTGCATATTTGATCCAAATCGGACAATCCGAAGCATGTTAAATAAAGACCTGAAGTTCATATAAAAATAATGGATTTCTGTTTCCCCAAACTAATATATATTGTATATATACATATACACCAGAGCTACCTAAGTAGGTAACTTACCCTGATAGAAAATTGCTGAGAAATACATTCTAGATATACCGGAGACAACGAAATACAAAGATGTTGCAACATCTGAAATTAGGAGATTCTTGGGCGCCTTTTATGTGTCTATTATCAATAACTCTACCAACGCTATTAATTAGCAGCCATTTGATCACTTGCTATTTCATTCTCATTATTTGAATGGACAAAAATTCTGGTAATAGTGCCTTGATATGACGTCACGTTCTTTCAAACGTTTGCAAAGCAAAATCATGCACTCATACATATATTTCGAATTGGTTTGCGATAGACATAGAAGTATGTATATTCAAGAATCGTTCTCCTTCCATGCAAATAATGAGAATGAAAGAACAAGCTGTTAAATGGCTGGGAACTAATTGCGTTATTTCTTATAACAAATTATTGATAACAGACACAGAAAAAGTGCCCAAGAATCTATCAATCTCCATTTTGGAAAAAATGTTGGAATATGCATGTATTTCGTCTCTGGTTATACGCTTCAAATTGTTATAGTTGAGACCGGACGGCATCACTTTGCTTAATGCAATTCTTTATCTGACTTTGTCGTAAAACAGCAAAAATTAGACGTTCCAGTCCAATAAAATTGTGCTTGTCCTGAAAATCTTCATTGGGGAAGAGACCGAAAAATGGACCAATGCACTGCAAAAGTTACTAATGTAAACTTCTATATCAACTCGCTATTTTCTCCCGATTTTCACTATAAAGCATTAGAGACTATAGTCTTAATACGGTCCTTTACTTCTTTTCGTCATAAAATACCAAAAATTATACAACGCTCCCATATAAAGGCATAGTTTTGAAGGGAGGTTTCATGCCCAAGCGGCCACAAAGCACAATTAATTTTGTTGTCAAAGATCTTACTATTCTTCACTCATTTTCATCATATATTGTTATAAGTAAGATTTTGTAGCCAGCTAAAAGCTTATGTACCATAAGACGCTCTATATTGGATGGTGTTTAAAAAAAAGGTGTACATGGTCTAAATTTGATAAAGTCAATTTTTAATGCAAATTAATGTTTAGGGGCCACATTCGCCATAAAATATTACAAATTACACTTTTATGCCCTGGAAAAAATAGACCTAGGTGCTCCATAATTTGCCATACATAAGTTTTTTGTGAAATACCTCTTACGAAACGAATTTCACTATAAAATTATAAAAATTAAAAATTTTTTTTTGTCATACGACGATTTACCTTCCCTAGGAACGATTAGATACGAGATAGTTTTAAAACATTGGCCTATTCGATCCAAATTTTTCGAGTAAATTTAGTCTGCTGAAGTACTATGATTCAGCGATTTTTGTCGAGTAATATTTAAAATTGCAAAAGAGGAGTATCGCAAATGGGGAGTAATCGTAAAAAGGGTTTGGTCCCTTTTCAGAAAAGTTCATGGGCCAAAAATGAGACAATTAGTAAGTTTTTACAGAAATTGCAATCCGTACCTAGAACAGAAACATGGGCCGATAGACAGACAGAAAGACCGACAGATACGGCTAAATAGACTCAGGAAATTGGTTTGCTATAATAAAAAGTGAGCCAGTCTATCTGAAGTCCTTCATTAATTGCATACATACGCACAAACTTAGCGTACTATTCTTGATAAAAGTTCTATGGAATATAAAAAGCATACATACACATTTATATCTGATTATCGAAAATTATCGATTTACAGAGTACTTTACTTTAGGAAAACAAAAACAAAATTAAATGCACAGTCGTTAATCGAGAATTGTGAAACCTTTCATTTTAATCATTTCCTTGAATTTTTGAGCACCTTTTCCATTGGTCTCTTGGTAATATGGTAAAGTTTCCATCCGTTTGAGCCAAACTGTAAGTTTCGGATACTTGCCAGCATCAACCTCTACAAAATTCACTAAAGAAGTAGCAGTACTAACGATGCTGAAGTCGGCAATCGTCAAATGCGAGCCCGCCATATAAGGTCCATTTTTTTAGAAACAATTCCAAAAAGTTGTAAACATCGACAATCGCATCTATTTTGCTTCGCGGTATTTTAGTTTCATTTTTGGAAAACAACGGAGCGATTATGTTGCGTAGACCACCTTGGAATATAACGCCGCTCTCGAAATGCAAACGCTGATCGAAAAAAGCTCTCTTCAATAGATCCTTGGGGTAGAAGGCGTCGTCTTTGGCGTATTTGCTTACTAAATAAGCCATAATAGCGTGTGAATCACAAATAAAATTGCCGTCATCCTCCAAGGTCCGTATTCCTCGCTAAGGTGTTCCTTATTTGGCAAGTCAACGATTTTGTATTCAAACGGAATATCTAATGCTTTTAACGTCATTAGACAAGCGCGTACGGATGGGCAGGCATCTAAACCGTACAAAATTAATTTGCCCATGTTTATGATGCGACGTCGTTAGGGAAACAAAACCGACTAACTTTTCATTTCAAGTCATTGTCTTGTATAAGCAAAGCTTTGGAAAAAAGATTTGCTCCGCTACTTGGCGTACATTAGTTAGTTGAAGGCATATAGGTGCCTGCCCACATGTCTGTTATTGAAGCTACGTAAGCTTGTATGGAGATTAAATGAACGATACCCAATATCTGGATCATGACTTTCCAAACTTTTTTCTCATCGCTTATTTGTAAGAGGTGCCCTAACTATTTATTTACTTAATTTATCTCATTTTATTCTTTTGACTAATAATTTGTTGGTTTATTTATTTATTTGCCAGTAGATGAGTTCAAGAACCTTGGATATTTAAGCAACAGCAATTAAAATCCATCTAGGGATAAGGTAAACTAAGATTGACATGAAGTCTTGCATTATTAAAGCTAAGAGAAGAGGAGGAAAAGAATAAGAAAGAAGAAGAGAAAATAGAAAGTAAAAAAAATGAACTACAAGTCACTACTTTGCTTGAAAGAGACGCATGTCCATAGCTGTATGCGAAGAAAATGACAACGGAGTGCTTGCCCGTCCTAAGTATGCAAAAGTTTGGCAATCGACATTTTGCGATTATGAAAGATTTTGCCAAAAATAGCTTGCATTATATTTGTTACTCGAGATAACGTAATTAGGTTAAACCCATAATAAGAATTTTTTTAAGACAAAGATAAGACGCGATTCGAGCTGCGAAGGCTTTAAGGTACGCCTGCGGCGGTTAGACTTATTAAGTTGATGTTTAAAATTTGAGTAGCTCTACAGGAAGCGGGAAACTTAAGCCCTATACACCGTGGTGATCAGATATATTTCTTTAGCGATTATTAGAGATTTATTCTGCTACACTTTATATGTATGGTTTAGTGGTGCGTTTTTAAACCGTACTTTTTTCTTCTTATACCCTACACTGCTAGTATGTTAAGTTTGTGAGTATGCGCTATGTAAAGCATAGAAGGTCGTTGAAAAGTCGTTATATGGAATAAATTTGCAATTTTCAAAATTTCTCGACAAAAGTCAGTGAGTAAAACTATTTCGACATTCTAAATTGGTATGCAAAATCTGGTTCGACTGGGGCAATTTTTTGAGCCCGCTCTCATATAACCCTTCCTATGAAAATGGAATCTTTATATAGTAAAAAGATATAATTCTGAATATTTCATGGTGAAAATTAGTTCATAATAATAAATAGTTGACGTAGAAATCAATTTGGACTGCGTAAGGTTTGTTCGTTGGATATCACCGCACATATGTAAAAGGATTCCTCCAATTTGCGGGCTTGGCATGAAAATAATGTGAAAAACAAGTGAATAACTTTATTAGGCGAAGTGGTGTACGCTAACAAATATTCGGCCTTTGCCGACTGTAATGTTCTGGTCTTTGTGATATTTTAACAACTTGGACTTCCGAACAGTACTACAATTTTTAGTTTAGGTAAACTTAAATCTACGCCATATAAGATTGATTTTCCCATTATACCGAAACTTAACTGCTATCTAACTCACAGTTACACAGTCGCACGGCTGAAACAATGGAAAAACTTCTTATAGAGTAATAATTAAGCAAATTGCTGTATTTACCAAAAAAACCAAAAAACAAAAAAAATAAAGGTTTTGATAATATGGTCGTTTTATACCTTACACCAGTTGCGGTACTGGAATATGTTAAGTTTGTGCGAATATATTCAGTCCACGGAAGAAATTTTGTTGCCTTTTGTTATAAGGGATATGTTATGTTTGTGCGGATATATGCAATGCACCGAAGGACTTTTGTTACCTTTTGTCATACCGACCGCTTATCTGTCCATCTGTCCGCTCGTCTATTTTGTTTTCTTGTGTTCAATTTGAGTCGCGTGGACTTTGAAATATTTTTGTGAAATTAGGTACACTAAACAGTTTCAGCCCAAAGACGGAAGCTATTGGAAATAGTTCGCATTGGACCATTTTTTCGACCACTTCCCATACCACACCTTATTCTGAAAAGTCCTTCTATGAACAACTGTAAGCTGATGTAGGGTATTTAATGGCGGGCCGTGGCCCACTGTGGTGTTTTTAATGGTTATTCTTCATTTTCATTGCAACAACATAATGATGCAGAAAACAATTGTTTATGCCCAGAAACTCATACTAAAACAAACTTCTCACAACAAATGAATTGTAAATAAATGTAAAACGAAGTAATGTCATTTCCCTCGACCGTTTGTATGATCGTGCTTTGATTTCACAACTACTTTTCATTCATTTCGGTTCATATAAATTGTTGGTCACGTCGGTACAACCAAACTGGTTGAATTGACAAATAATGTGAGATGAAAGTTGTCGCTATGTCGCACTGGAGTTATTCCGTCTTTAATCGCTCTGTATGGAGAGCCCCATTTCTAATATCCTCGCTTTGGAAACGATTCCTTATAAATACTGTTTTTTTCTTTTCCACGTCCCTTGCTTAAGTATAAGAGACATTCGGTGTAGGAAACATCTCCACACTTACATATATAAAAGAGACTCCTAAGTACTTGACTGTTTAAAAACCACTACAAAATCTATTTTTAGTTTTCCAGATAAGAGTAATTAAGGAAATGTCTGCATTTCGTCTTCGCCGTTAGGTCTCAGCGCTCATGAAATCTATATGAAAGAAGCAAGGAAATCACAATTGACCCCATGGGCTAAAGTACCTCTATCTAAAGTCAGTCTGTCAAACGTCGTGCGGTAATTACGCAGATAAAGAGACTCGAGGACGGACGGACGTGCCTAAATAGACTCAGAAAGTTATTTTAAAAAATAAGCCTATCTCTGGTAATTGCGTACATCCTCACAAACTTAGTACACCAATCTTGCCATAGGTTTTGAAAAATAAAAAAAATGCAATTCTATGTATGCGTGCAGAATATATTTTTATATGTTTATCGAAAGTTATCGATTTACAGTGTATTTTACTTTAGGAAAGCAAAAACAAAATTAAATGCACAGTCGTTAATCGAGAATTGTGAAACCTTTCATTTTAATCATTTCCTTGATTTTTTGAGCACCTTTTCCATTGGTCTCTTGGTAATATGGTAAAGTTTCCATCCGTTTAAGCCAAGCTGCAAGTTTCGGATACTTGCCAGCATCAACTTCCACAAAATTCACTAAAGAAGTAGCAGTACTAACGATGCTGAAGTCGGCAATCGTCAAATGCGAGCCCGCCATATAAGGTCCATTTTTTAAAAATAATTCCAAAAAATTGTAAACATCGACAATCGCATCTATTTTGCTTCGCGGTATTTTCGTTTCATTTTTGAAGAACAACGGAGCGGTTATGTTGCGTAGACCACCTTGGAACATAACGCCGCTCTCGAAATGCAAACGCTGATCGACAACAGCCCTTTTCAATAGATCCTTGGGATAGAAGGCGTCATCTTTGCCGTATTTGCTTACTAAATAAGCCATAATAGCGTGTGAATCCCAAATAAAATTGCCGTCATCCTCCAAGGTGGGGACGGTATGTTGGGGATTCTTAGCGCAGTATTCCTCACTAAGGTGTTCCTTATTTAGCAAGTCAACGATTTTATATTCAAACGGAATATCTAATGCTTTTAACGTCATTAGACAAGCCCGTACCGGTGGACTGGCATCTAAACCGTATAAAATTAATTTTCCCATATTTGTGATGCGACTTCGTTAGGGAAAGAAAACTGACTAACTTTTCATTTCAAGTCATTATCTTGTAAAAGCGAAGCTTTGGAAAAATGATTTACTTCGCTACTCGTTTTGCATGTATTAACTGCAGGTATATATATATATATATATATATATATATATATATGTGTGCGCCCACCAGTGTATTATTGAAAATTGTATGCTGTTGCATTTATATAAGACAAGTAAGAAAGCTGTATAAACTTGTATAGAGATTAAATGAACTATACCCAACATCTGGATCAGGTCTTTCCAAACTTTTTGTGACTGGTTACTTGCAAGGTAGGCATTACTTATTTATTTATTTAATCTTTGCTCTTCTGTTTACTAATTTTATTCGTTGATTTGTTTATTCGCAAGTCAATGCATTTAAGAAATTCATCTCTGTAGGGATAATATAAGCTAAGATTAATATGAAATTTTTAGTTATTAAAGCAAAAAGAGCAGGAAGAAAAGAACAGGAAAGAAGACAAGAAAATTGAAAATACGAAAGAGAATATAAAAGTAGGTACTTTGCGCGAAAAGACCGTACGGCTATAACTCTACGTGAAGAAAGTGACAAAGCAATGCTGGCCGGTCTCAAATACACAAAAGTTTGGCAATCGACATTTTACGATTATTAAAGATTCCGGCAAAAAAACAGCTTTCATTTTATTTAACACTTTAGATAACAAAATTAGGTTAAACGCATAATGAGAATTTTTTGAAGACAAAGATAAGACGCGATTTGAGTTGCAAAGACCCTAAGTGCGCCCGCCGTGTTTACGCTTAATGAATTCATGTCTAAAGCCCCCATTCCAGGAGGAGGCGGTAAGCCTACGGCCGATATACTGAGGCGATTAGATTAATGACTTTAGTGATCATAAGACTTCTTCTTCGTTTGCGTACTTTTGTTCATTTAAGTGAGAAAAGGAAATAATCAAGGTAGGGTATGCAAAAAATGAAGTACTGAAGAAGTATACTTGAAAGTATGGAAAAAACCGCTAAAGATAGTAAATTGCGATTGTTGAATATGGAAAAAAGCCACTCAACCCCAGCACCTTTTTTTGTACCGAGTTGGACTTGCAAAAAGAAAGAAAAGTACAAACTTCCGTGCGTACGTTTCTCAACGCAAAAATTTCTAATCGCCCAATTTTGAACCTCTCTTATTATCTATTATTGGTGGAAGGGGTCCATATCAATGATTGTAAGATAATCAACACTTGTTCGATAAGGGCTTTATTTAGTTTCATGTAATATAGCAGAGTTGTCTTTGCTCGGACCAATTCTGCCCTTTGCTAAAGCTGTTTGCGCAAAGTTTAATTTTCTCTTACTACGTAATATGAACAGCGATAAATAATGAATGCGCCTCGATATCCAAAGTGCGAAGGAATACAGCACAGACTATGAGACCATTAACATCGCCGGTAAAGTCACATGCACACAGCTCGGCGTAGAGTATTATTAATAATCCCAATCAAGCGTAGCTATCAACAGGACACGTAACCAACAACATCTGAAGAGGAACATCCAAAGAAGGAACGAGCATAGTGATTTCTCAGCGTGATGGCGTTAACGGCACTGAATTGAATTGTGCCGCTCTCAGCCTTCTATTCGTCAAGGATTATTGCGCCTAAATAATACTAGTTTCAACCGATGACCGGTTCTTTGTTCGAACAGAGGTTCGTTTCTTATGGCAATATGTAAAAAAGCATCCACTTGCTGACACGTTCTGTGGTCCTGCTCGCCTGGAATTCATATTCAACCTATTAGGTGAGAGAGGAGGTGAGTTGCAATGGATGATACCTTGAAGAAGATTGGGGCGTACTGGTATTACGACAATTTTTCAAAATAAAAGCTTAGTTGCGAGCTGTGCTTCCTGAGTTGCTACATTTTGACATCGTTCAGATAATATAAAATTCTACATGTATCCCACGGGCCGCTGTTTGGACAATCATGACTTATCTTATTTAACTGTAATTATTTGTGGAATATATAATTTATAACAGGCACATCATGTGAATGACTTGCTCTTACGATTAAGGCGAGCGTAACATTTCGCTCAATTAATTTGTAGGATGGCATGAAGATTTTGTATGACTATTGATGAACCCATATGGTTCTCAGGTAATACCAAATTTCAAACGACGTGTACAAAAATTTCATGATGTTCTAATCACTAGTTTAGAAACGATAGTTTTATTAGTGACGGAGTTTTTGTTTCTGTAAAACAATAGACAAGTTTGAAGTTCGTTTGTAGCATAAGCTAACGGGCGCAATGTCATGAAATTGTCATGCGTCTCTTTTGCAGGTTGCTATTATCTAAAAATCACACGAATTTGTCAATAGCGCTGGGACCCATTTCTGATCCTACGAACTTATTGAGCAAAGTGTCATTTATCTTATAGTTGATTTAAAGAAGAAAAAAAATTATAATTAACTGCTTCTAGACTCTTCTGTTTGCCGGCTATGAATCCATACATTTGGATGTAGGCTTAGTTATTCACACAATGTGGAGTTTTCTATAATCGATGGTCTTGATATAAGCGGTCTTTAAATATGAATTTTGTTTGATGGTAACAAACTTGTTCCTAACCATAAACATCCTGGAATATTGGTTTTCGAGAGTAATCGAATTTTTTCGTAGACTCACTCTTGTTATATAGCCTGTTGTACTAACTACATACATGTCTATGCTTCAACAGTACAGACAGGCGGACAGGTGGACAGAAAAGCTTATATTAGTATAATAAACAAAACGGATAGAGGACCAGGCTTAGATCGATTCAGAGAATCAATCCAAACTAATAATAAAAGGTGCGTCCACTTCAAGTTCATCTAAGTGGTGCACACATCCCCGCAAATTGAAAACTTACCGTAAAATACTCTTAGTTTAATAGGAAAATTAGATATCTCTTCACGCCATAAAAATTTACAAAACAACTGACAATATCTGAAAGCACTTTAATCTTTCGAAACGTATGCCATCAAACGTCAATCAATTATAACAATATTTCTTGATTTAATATAATTGACAAATCTTAGAGCACCGATCCCGTTAGTTTCATGATAATGCGGCAAAGATTCCATGCGCTTAAGCCAAGTCGATAGCTTAGGATATTTACTAACGTCAATATCAATGAAAGCCAATAAAGTGGTTACCGTACTAACGATACTAAAGTCGGCAATTGTTATATTCGATCCAGCTATATAGGGTGCCGATTTAAGGAATACCTCTAGAAGATCATAAATTTTCAAAATTGCATTAATTTTGCTCCTTGGTATGTTGGTATCGTTTCCCGAAAATATTTGTGAAGTAATGCTACGTAGCGCGCCTTCAAATATGACACCAGACTCAAAATGCAAACGTTGATCAACAATCGCTCGTTTCAATAAATCTTTTGGATATAAGGAATCATTTTCTTTACCATATTTATTTACCAAATAAGCCATAATTGCATGCGAATCCCATATGATGTGACCATCATCTTCCAGAGTTGGCACGGTATGCTGAGGATTCTTGGCGCAATACTCATCAGTTAGATGTTCTGCTTTTGATAAATCGATAATTTTGTACTCAAAAGGAAGATTTAACTCTTTAAGTGTCATCCGACAGGCTCGTACAGGTGGACTTAAATCTATGCCATATAAGATTAATTTTCCCATTCTACCGAAACTTAACTAATGTAATGCACTACAGTCACACGGCTGAAATAATTGAAAAGCTTCTTTTATAGCAATAACTAAGTGAGTTGTTGTATCTATCAAGAAAAAAAAGAAAAATGTCACTAAGGCTTTTTGATAATTTGTACTTTTTATACCGTACACCAGTTGCGGTACAAGAATATATTAAGTTTATACGGACGTATGCAGCACCCAGATAGGCTCACCATTTGTTACATCGATCGATTCAGAGAGGTTGTCATAATGACTTTCTGAATCGATCTAAGCTTATCTGTCCGCATATCCGCCTGTCCACCTTTCCGTCTTGTTTCCCTCTTTCTGTGTACAACCTAAGGCGCGTAATCTTTGAGGCATTACGACGAAATTGACTACAACGACTTGTTGCGGTACACAGACGAAAGCTATTGAAAATTGTTCGGATCACACCACACTTTCGACCACTCCCCATATAACGCTTTATTATGAACAATTATAGGGTGAGTAAGTAAGGTAGTAGTATTCCACATTCTCATTGCAACAATACAACGAAGCAGATAACAATCGTTAATGCCCAGAAACTCACACTAAAACAAATTTCTCATATCAAATGAATTCTAAACGAATGTAAAACGTGTACAAGCAATCGCGTGTTCCTAACCGTCTATTTGATGCTTGGTGCTTTGATGTTGCAATCACATTCAATGATTCATTCCGGCTCATATGAATTGTCAGTCTTGTCGACACAAGCTAAATGGTTCAAGTGACAAGTAATGTAACACCGAAGTTGCCCATATACCGCATTGAAATCGTTCTTTTTGTAGAGACGAATCTTCGATGAATATTGTACTCCCTTTTCTATTTCCCCTCACCATGCATACATATAATATATAATATCATTATTATTAATTTCGCCAGAGAAATAAGTTCTAAGACTAAACTCTTAAAAGCACTAGCATCTAAGACTATTGGCTTTTATTAAAAACTCTACCGCACTTGAGATTCGAACCCACGACCATTGACTTGCTAGTCGAGATTCCTCGCCTTCGGCTACTCAGGCGGATCAATATGTAATATATTCCCAAGTATCTGTTTAAATAAAATAATTCCAAATGAATTTTTTTGCATCTCTTCTCTATTGCCACAATTTTGACGCCTAAATAACTAATAATTTGGAAGTGAGAAGAGTGCAAAGGTTCAAAGTAGCTGAAAATCTACACCCATAAAGAGGATTTCCCCAATGTATTGACCTTGGAGGGTCTAGCTCCAAAATTTACGCGATGTCTACTCGCCACTTGCTACTACTACAACGGTGGACAGTGGGCATAGCCGATAGGCATAGGGGCTTATGGTGTATTATTTTATCGTAGATAACGTACAGATACTTAGAAGTCTACGTATATGCGGGCTAACGAACGTTCGAAAAACGTCAAAGGAACACATGTTTCTTTTGCTTTTTGTCTCTCCCTCTCTCTCTATCTCTCTCTCAAGTAGCGCTAGTGTTGCTAAACTAAGCAGAAGTAATGAATAATAATGAAGTTGAACGATTTTACTTACCAACCAGCGAGAGAGAGACAGAAAATTTTGTAGCTTTCTTCCCTGCTGTTGAGTCCCAGCCCTAATGAAAACTATATGAAATTAGTAAGAAAATTGTATTCATCTGTGGCCACTAAATTTCGTTATTTTATAATATTGGGTGAACATGGCCGAATCTTTTCCTATTTCTGGTCTGGCAACTCCAACATCTCGTATGGAAAATATGAGGGAACATTTATAATTGTATCTCTACAGTTTATGAGTAGTAAGCAACAAAAAACTAATCTTTTTATATTTGGAAATTGGAATGTTCTCAATGTACAATTGCGTAGGCGGGCCCTACCATTTATTTGGCCCATCTTCAGTATTAACCTACACGCAAGAACATACGAAGTCTTTGCGAATTTGAATTCGATAGCTTAATTTTTTGCAATCAAGAGAAAGTTTACCCCAGACATACGAAAGGACAAACGTGCTTAGATCGATTCAGAATTTGATTAGGAATGTATATACTTTACAAGGTCTTCCATGCCAAGCCCTCTTCTGGACTTTTACGCATTTTGAGATAGTGCATGTACCCGCAAGTTGTTGGTGTTTAAAACTTTTTGAAAATAATTTTGTGACTGCGCGACAATTCTAACGGGTCAAATGGGGTTGTCTGCACATGAACTTTTAAGAAAACTCAAGGAAAAATTTTACGTAGAGTTAAGATCAATATCTTCTATAAATTGCAGCGAACTTTGGTTTGAAAATTTCTGGCGAAAATGTTCTCTCTGCATTATTCGGCAAAAAGCGTTTGGAATATTGCAGATCGCCGTCATGATTATGTAGTCGAAACTCTGTTCCACATCAAATGCATCCGCCGGGAAATTGAATGAAATAGAAACTGACTTGTCCGCGTCTTCTCAATACTTACATGGTTACATTGGCTATTGGCCGCAAATCTTGCCTGCCATTGCTCAAGCTCACGGCGATTGGCTTCGGATATAAAACATTGCTCAATAAATTCTTAAGATACGACATATAAATATCGTCACTACTGACGAATTCATATGATCTTGAACAAACAAAATGGGTCAAAATTTCATGACATTCCGATCAACTTAGAGTTGATTTCGTAACACCACCTTTGTAATTCTCAGAGCTATGGAATGAATTTATTGTGTAGCAAATGATATGTGCGTGTTTGTATGCACGATTATACGTTCGGTACTCCATTAATTCATAAAGCAAGAGGAGCCATAAAGCGTAAAGCGTAGTTGTGCATAGTACATATTTTTTCATTTTTTCATAAATGCTGTGTGGAAGAGCCTCACAGGCAGCTATATTAAAATCCAAATAGATTTGTGTACCCCGCCTCATACATTTTACTATGTAGGTTTTTTTGGTAATAATGAAATAACCCATGGATAAAATTAACTGTTGCGTAATTCATTCTAAGGGGACTACTGAGCGCAAGCGCGTATATTATTTGAGGTCGTAATCATGTTTCCAATAGACTGAGTAATAGATAGATAGTTTCTTCTCATCGTATTCATGGGTGCGTCCAGAGACTACCGGTAAGAAAAATTGCAAAATCAAGTTTTTTCCTTCTCGATAAAGTTTAAAGGTCAGAATCCTGCTTTCAAACAAACATCATAGGCTCAGGATTAAATATCCTACACAACTTTACCGTTATTCATATAATGACGTTTTAAAATAAAGCGTTACAGAGGAAGTGATCCGACCCGAGCCGTTTTCGTTAGTATTCGTTCTTGGGCCAAAACACGCCGGTACATCATACTTTATCAACATATCTTCAAAAATTTAGGGCCGAAACGTTGAACACAAATAATAAAAGGAGACCGACGGACGGTTAAGCAGAAAGTTATTATGAATCGATCGATATAATGAAAGATGGGTCTATCTCAAATCCTTCTGGATGTTGCATATATTCGCACTCACTTAATACATTCCTATATCGCAAGTGGTGCAAAATATAAAGACGAATTTCACTAACCATACTGATGAAGGCAGCAAGTAGTTAATGAAATGCTCGATCAATCTGTAGACCTATGCGTGGCAAATATTTAAGAAACGTAAAGATATCCCGTTCATTCTCTCCCTGGATTAAAGCAGCAAGAAAAATGGTCTTCAGATGATCGGATAATCAACGTACGCTACAAATTACTTTCAAACAACGTGTTGTGAACTTGTGCATTTGAGAATTAATTAAATTTTGCAGAAATAAAATAATATATTTGAACTTATATCACTGTACATACATAATGAATGTCGACGGAACAGATACATATCTAATAATTAAATACGGAATAAGAAACTCTTTTTTAAAATTATTTTAATAATAATTACATAAGAATTTTTTAATAATGCGTTCTGCGGTGTCTGTTCCGCATTTGATTAGCTAAACAGCAACCGAAAATAAATGCAACCAACTGAAAAATAAAAATTAGAAAAAACCTTGTAAACAAATCTAAAAGAACAAAAATTTGAACTCATACTTCAACGCCCGCAACTCCCAATCCCGCATAGCGTATTATGTTGATACTGTTTTCCCAGAAATTGGTAAAGGCACGCACACATCCCGGACGAGTTATAGCTTCGATAGCGGTGCACGAAGTTGCCGAGACTTCACAACAAGATGGAGGAATCGCTTCGCCAGCCAATGTGTAATCTGTGAATCCATTCTTACCGCAGCATTTGAACTTGAATGAAAAGAAAAGAAGGAATAACATTAAACAATTAAAAAAAAAAAAAAACACTATATCCTTACACTTATTTGCATAGCATCCATAACCTTCTGATCGGTGTGACGTTGATCCCAAATCTTCTCTATCACGTCATCCATTTTATCCAAAATTTGTACCCTTTGCTGCCAAATGAAAATCACTAAAGCCAACTGACATATAAACAGGGTCAGCATTATTACAGAATACTTGCAAAGAGAAAAGTGAAACAATTAATTTGTGACATTATTACGTACATATTCTCATACGTACTGTCATAGTACAGCAGGCATTTTCTCGAATAGCGCCACAGCAACCCAAAAAGGCAATTACGAAGATAATACAGCCTAGTACTAGAATAACAATTGGTACACTATTTGCCTGAATGCTTTCCGGCGTATTTGGAATCTCGCCAATGTTTGAAACCATTAAGGATCCAAATATTATTAAAAGTAGACCGCATACCTATTCAAAGATAAGAAAAGCAATATATAACTAATTTATCACTTTTATATTTCTTGGTAAGGAACATGGAGTAAAAATAGCGGGAGAGGACTTCCGGTCTGTACACTGCATCTTGTGTAGCAGTGACTTTACCGTGATAAAATACAAGTTTTGAGAAAAGGATCATAGCGATTGGCTTTTAGTTGGGTGGGATCATTGTTAGGTGTATCAAATACGTAGAGTCTTTGAAAATCAATTAATGTAACAGAAAAAGTTATGCCCCTTATTTCAAATATATATATATATATTTTGGTTTTTGTTTGTTATTATTACTATTATTATTATTATTTTTTTTTGTTTAGTAAGACCTCTTAACTTATTGTTTTAAATATCTATATTTTAATATTCTATGTATCTATCTGATCTTCATGTGTCTTATGAGGTTTTGATAAATATAAATTTTTTTTTTTGTATTCGTCCTGGTCATCTTTAAAAAAGTTTTTTTTTTTTTTTGATATGTACATATTCTAATTTTGGGTGGGATGAGTGCCCTTTTTTGTTTGGTTGGCACGGAACTGCTGCATTACGAAATGCAATACCCAGTCAGGTGAAGTGCGACAAAATTTTTGTTTTTCTTTTTTTTTGCACTTTCACACTTCAAAGTGGATGCATACGGCGGTATGCGACCACACTACACCCTTACCGTTTAGATAGACGTGATAGACGTTAACAATTTTCTGTTACAAAAAAGAATTTTAAACGGTAACTAGATTTGGTTTGTAACTTTTCATTTCTTACAGTTTTGTCTTCATAGTCTTTTTGGTTTATAATTTTTCATTTCTTGCTCTCGAAATTCGAGGCTTAGTTCAAGGCTTTAAGGGCTAATCTAATCATTGGAAAAGTTTGCAATTTCAATGAAGCACTTATTTGGAACACAATCACGGATCAAGCTGATAAAGATTAGCAGAGTAAGTTTTAATTGCGGTCATATCTTGATGCAACCGAAACAAGCAAGCGGAATCGGTCAGATAAATTGTTTTGTTTCCGTCGAAGCAAGTCGGTACCGGCGTTACTTCTCTGTATGCATTTTTTAAAATCGATGTTATTTCATAAAAGAAAATCTGTAAGCGAGAGCATCATACGTATTATTACTGTTAAAAAGGACACGACTCGTGCCTAACAATTGGCATTTGGGGCATGAGGATTTTCCAATTTAATTTAAACAATTTGTAAATTTCGAACGATTTCTTCTTAAAATTTCAGATTAGCTACGCTGCAGTGATTGGAATATGTCAAAGCTGTTTTCGACGACTTAAATGTGATGGTTTCAATCTGTAGTAAAGAGAATGCCCGCGAGCGTCAAAGAAGGAGGTCCGCAAAACATGTAATGCGATAGGGAAAGGCCTTAGCCTGAGATGTGTCTGCTCGATTGGTAAGTGTTATGCCTTTACCAATCAAGCGCTCTCCGTATTGAGAATTGAGCCTACTCGATTGGAGCGTCGTTTAACTACATATCAATTTGGGTGACGAAAAATTGATTTATTTTGAAAATCTAAAGCGCGAAATATCACGATTCCATCCAGCAGGCAATTACCTGCATTTAGTATTAGATGAGGGGTACTGTGCTTTGTGAGCTGCTAAAAGCCTAGCGAAAGCGATATCGATATCAATGTCAATCGACACCGATTAGAAAATGGCGAGACTAGGAAAATAGTTTAGGATAAATTGAAGACACTTGGCTGGGATTTGTTGCCGCATAGACCCTGCTCACCAAACTTGATTTCACCAGATTGCTTTTTATTTGCTTCGATATCACACGCGTTTTTTGTGCACGCACAAAAGACGGCTAGAGGAATGGTTCGTCGCACTAGATGGATTGTTCTTTTGGAAGGGTGTACACAAGTTGCCAAAAAGAGCAAAAGGCGGTATAGTGCAAGGGCCGTACAACGCGAATAAGGGTATCGTACTACAATGTGTAAGTTTCTTAAGGCAATTCTTCTTAAGTTCATATTGCACGCACAGCTTCATTAGAACATGTAGCATGGAAACGTTTTTCAACGTCAAGTGTTTAGAGAGATGCACCTATTTAGAGAACGCACTTGTGAAAGAGTGCATACATAATACTACCGAAGAAGAACTATATAGGCAACCATGCCTAAGCGTTGACTTTCTACTAACACCTAAAAATGCCAATGCTTTAACGATAAACAATAAACTGTACTTCTACCATAGAAGAAAACATTCCTATGATCTGACGAGCTTAGTGTATAACACTTCGCAATAATTGTTCGTAGGCTTAGTATTAGATGTAAGTAGTTTTTAAGAATGTGAATAGCTCTAGATTTAAGCAAAACCAAAAAATGTAAAAGAAACCCCTTTTTTGTCATTTCCTTTTTTTTGGGGGTGATTAACCGTAAAAGATATAAATATTAATGTTAAATAACGAAAGAATTAAATTTCAACCTGGCAAGAGATATATTCTTAGAAAAGTACTAGTTACGTTAAGAAAATTATGTAATAATCAAAGCATATACAAAATGTAAAACAAATGAATTGGAATAAATAAACTTGAACTTGAACTTGAACTTGAACATTTTTCAACTAATACGATTACAATGAACATGATGTAGTCGACAACCATAAAACGTCTGAAATCATTTTATTCAGTCTTTGGATTTCTCCACACAGTCTTCCTGCGTGGGGATGGTGGACCATAGGTTAGTAGTCGGGTAGCAGTAAGTATCTGCAAATCTCCTTAGTATTGTCCTACTAAAAAATCGGTGGCTTATTCAAGCTCGAGAAGACACTTTAAATGCTATGGACCGCGTTGGGTTCTTTGGAAAGGGTTAGTTTAGAAAGAACTTTGTTGGGAAGTTGATGTTTCTTGAGAACGATTTTTTTCACTCTTCCTTGACGAACGAACTCTTGTAAAAAGGAGTTTTTTTGACAGCAATGTGTTTTGGGAGAAGTTCTTCTTGGGAAATAGTAGTTCTCAGCAGAGATTTAAGCCAGAATGCTATTGCCGGGAAGAAGTTTTTATTTTCAGTGCATAGGGAAGAAATTTTACTTTCAATAATTTTATTCTCAAGGCAGCTATCACAAGATGTTTTTTCTTAACTAGGCTCCACAAGTTTACCTAGCATACTACATAATTTTTTGGGAGCAAAGAAAGCTAAACAGTGCAACGAATAAAGATGCAACACCAGAAAATGCGGTTATTGGTTACAAGCTTCTTAAAAACTGTGAGTCATTTCAAGGTTGCAGAGCAATCGGCAAAATATGGATGTCGTCTTCCACTTCATTAAAAAAAAGAAAAGCCGGAGATAGCGGAAAGCTTTAAATACTTCAAACACAATCTAAAATTAATTTCTTTTCCGCTGTTCTGTCTTTTCTGTTTTTAAAAACTTTATATTTATACTCTCCAGTAGTAATTAGTCATACTAATTATTCAACCTTGTGTAATTATAAAAGTAAGTAAATAACGCGCAAATATTTCGCATATAATGAGTAAGATTTAGGTGTGTGTGAAATAAAACTGCTCGACAGTAATTTTTCGTCATCGTTTAATCCGTGTAGATGTGCATTTGTTTTCGCAGAGAGTTAATGAAAATGACATATACAACTGAAGAGCACTTATGGACTTGTATGAGTCTTTTAAGTACTAATACAATCCGTTACATTCGTTACATAAACATGATTAAATAGTTGAGTAAAACATCGTTTTGTTGATTATAGATAGATAAGTAAGTAAGCGTATGTATAACCAAAGTGAGCTATCGATGTTACCTCCCAGTGTCCATTCATTTATTTCATTCTAAAAATTCTTAAATTGTCAAAAGTCGATTAACATGATATTTCACACATATTTGCATACCCTACATCACTTGTGCTAGAAGGATATATTAATTTTCTGCGGATGTATGCAATGTTCAAAAAAAGTTGAGATAGACTCATCTTTCATGATACCGTTTATGTTTGTCGGTCCGTCTGTCCGTTTTGGATTCTTGTCTTCAAACTACAAGTCGCAATTTGTGTGGATGTACGCAGTATCCAGAAGGATTCGAGATGGAGACACCTTTTATTACACTGATCGATTCAGAACCATTTCCCGAATTCATCCAAGCATGTCTGTCCATCTGTCCGTCTTGTTTTTAATCTAAAGTCCGCTATTTTTGAGGCATAATGATGAAATTTGATACATTCAAGTACAAAATGCTATTGAAAATAATTCGTGTCAGACCACGCGTTATCTTGAAAATTCATTATATGAATAACTGTAAGGTAGTGTAGGGCATTAGTAGTACGCCGTGGTCCACTATAATCTTTTTATTTGCTTCCGAAAAATCCCCTCATTTTGCTCACACTCACAATGATTCGAGAGCGGAGTGTTTGTTTCCTTCATTTCAAATAATAATTCTTTTCACGTTTCATCTTCGCTATCAACCTCTATATATATATTAACCCATTGAAATGTAGCCAAATTTTTTGACGCGATTTTTAAACACCGTAGCGTTGATCATTTAAAACAAGCTCTTTAGGAAGTGCTATTTCATCACTTGAAATTACTGTAGAAACTCATTGAGTATTAATAGAAGCTTATGTGAAAACATTTTCAAGCCCAAGATAAGAAATAAAGAAAATATGTGCCCGCCCAAGTTTCAATTTTTTTTTCTTTGTGTTCCTTTTGAGGAAAAGTTGACCGATATCTACGATTAAGCCCGAGTGTAGTTTCCTAACTTGTTTTTTTTTTTTTTTTGCTTTTGAAAACTCTTGACCAAGTCTTCTGAATGTATGACGTACTAAGCGGATCGTCATTTCAAAACCAACGTTTGTGCAGAGGCTTTCAGTAGATCTGGTAAATTTGAAACCTTAGAGAATGTTTACCAAAGGCAAATGGACGGGCGGACAGACGGACATGCTTGATATTCCCAAGAAATACATACACTTTATATTGTTTGGGAGAGCTTCTCGCTGGATGGTATTTTCCCAATTTCGTGCTGTTAGGTAAAAAAGCTGGAAGCGCTGGTGAATCATTAGTTTAACAAGCGCAAGTTTTGACGTTACTACAGAGAGAATGGTCTTAGGAGAAAAGGGTGACTTTTTGTTATCTTCCCTTTATCGCCACTTCAGAGATATCAGACGAGGGCTTTTCTAACGTATTGTGACTGATAACAAAAAATGCTTATGAAAATGTTCTAACAACTCTTTGTGGCAATACCCCAAAATGACGGAGAGAACTTAATGAAATCTGAATTTCTTGAGACGTGTAGACAAAATCGTTGAGCAAATGTGTAAACAGTAATTGGAACTTTACAAAATTAAAACCAAGTTCATAAGATGCAATGCTTTGTGTTTGCATTATGATAAAGTTCTGCTCATTACTAAGATTGTGTAAATAATGAAAAAACTTTATAGACAAAAAAACTCAACTGTAAAGCACCCTAAATTTCTTAGCAACGACTCTTTGGAAATTAGACATTGTATGGGACAGAGTTGTAACAAATGATCTGATATGGGATAAGCACAAGGACTACGAAACGGAATGGCTTGGTGCAATAAAAAACACATAGATATATAAACCCAAGTCTGTCTTAATGTTACCTATTTTTGTGAAAAATAATTAGTAGATTCATGTACTGGAAGGCCCTAAGACTGTGCCTCTTTATATCTAGCTAAGCTAGACAAGGCAAGGCAAAGCCAGGCATCGGAGCGACATAAGAGGTCTTAGCATATTTGCAGCACTCTCCATATATTAGGCCTTCTAATTGCCATTCTTTCTCATGGATCGAAAATAAAAATATCGTGACTCAGCTTTTCAGCTGGAAGCTAATCATCCATATAAATAATTTCAAAGTGGCAAAATTCTCCCATTTTCTACTTTATTCAAAAAGCATTTATCTTTGAGTGGGATGATTATTTGTTCTTCTCTTTTCTTTTTTTTTTTTGTTTTTTTTTGTTTTTGCTTTTGTTTATCATAAGTCCTGATAAGATAAATATAAAATTCCTCCTATTACATCGATGTTCACATATGATGTGCAATCGCTATCGTTTCAACTGAAAGCTGAAGTTTTTTAACACAACCTCTATTATTCATAAAACAATTGAAAAATTTTGCGCAGTAAATGCTGATCCAAGCAAAATGCTCGAATAATAAATGGAAAGCTTTTTCTCATTACCAAGAAACAAAAAGAGAAAGAAAGAAAATCGCTGTCTAAAGTAAACAAAATATTTTTAGATCAACTAAGCCTTTTCGCACTTATGTGTATAAGGCATAGGTAGATATTTAAATAATTTTTGCAATACAAGCAAATGTAACTCTAGTTAAGAAGATTAAAAAAAACAAAAATTGATAAGCATATGTTAGAGTTGTTTTTCTGTTTGTAACGCCCAGAAATATATATAGCGGAGATGCCATAAAAATGAATGATTTCTTACGTGTATAGGGGGCAAAAAGCTTTTATTATTCTAAAATTTGACGAAAATATAAATCAAGACTCTGATTAAAACTCCGAATCGAGAATAAATATCACATGTCTATGAAATATTACGGGAAACATTATCGCAATAAGTTAATGCAAGACTTGTAAGGGTTACTTAGTTGAACCTGATCCGGAAAAAATGCGCTTCCGAGGCTCATTTCAGATTTGAATTTCGATTTTTTCAGATTGTATTTCAAAAATTTTTTTACACCCTACACTACTTGCGATACCAGGGTGTATGCAGTTTGTGCGGATACATGCAATATCCAGAAGGACATGAGGCAGAGATACCTTTTATTATACTGATCTATGCAGAACCACTTCTTAAATCTATCTAAACTTTTCTGTCCATCTACAAGTCGCTATTTTTGAGAAACCTCCCACTTTTCCACTTTTTCGACCGCCTCCCATTCAAAATCCTACGTTGAAAATTCGTTATTAACTGTTGGGCGGTGTAGGGTACTTTATGGTAGACTGCGGCCCCATATAATCTTTTTACTTGTTCACTTTACTTTAATTTAACAATTAATGCCTAAAAGCAAAAAAAATACTTGTAAACTTAGAGCTCGTCATCGTGCAGGAATCCGATTTCTTGGGTAGGGAAGACGCAGTTGATTCAAAATTCGGGACACTTATGCATTGATAAACTTTGCATATCATATCAAAACAGTAACCGCAACATCATATGTGACTAATTTTTACAAATTATAAACTGAATCGAAAGTCACATGAAAGATGAGTCTACAAAATAATTTCTCTCCTAATCCCATCTGATAAGGAAGTCCAAAAAAAGATCGGTCCTAATACCTAGAAAATACTCTCTAAGCATCTTTGAAAGATGAGTCTACAAAAAATGTTGGCCTTAGTACGAATGGCCTACGTAGGAATGTTTCCTAACCCTAACCTAAGTTTGAGAAGGGAGTCTAAAATAGGGAGCGGGTCTTAATATTTAGAAAATGTTTCTCAAGTCTCTCGGAAAGGTGAGTTTAAGAAGATTTCCGAACGATCCGCTCGAGTGACCCGCCCAAGTACTAAAAAATATTTATGTAATTTTTTGAAGAGACGAGTAGACCCTTAAAAATCCGTCTTATGAGCCGATCGTAACACTTGTATTTACTTTTGAAATTGAATATAGCCATCGCTACAAATTGATGAATGAATCAATTCTATCGACTTGCGTAAAATAAAGGAAGGGGTTCTAAGGGAACGTTTTCAACTCTGTAAATTTTGAAGGATCGCACACATACACGGTTGCAGTCATTTATAAAACAATTATTTAAAACATTATTTAGTAATTTCCAGCTATAATTTGTCGTTTAGTAGTAACGCATGACTTTTTTTTTTGCTTTTTGAATATTGAACACGCAACCAATTGATTTGAATTTTGAAACGTGTTGCTTGTCCGAGTATATGCATTTCAAATATCTAATATGTTGTGCAGCAATTCTCTCACTAAATAATTAGTCATTTAATTAGAATATAAGCAGACAGAAAAATTTTTTATAAACATAAATATATTCATGTGTGCATATATATAACACATATTTGTCTTCAGATATCTCACCACAAAAAGTATATTAAATACGAATAATATATATTTTACTAAAACACCACCGCAATCCATTGTTTCGATAATATTCAAAATATCCTTAAATATTTATTTTTATTATTAATGCTTTTTTTTACTTATTTATTTATTTATTTATTTATTTGTTTTTCGCTCGTTGTTTTAAGAGAATTCAAAATGATACGTATTTAAATGAAATCTAAATTATAACTGAATGCTAAAAAAATGGTTTATTATTCTAGAAGTCTTTTTTTCATTTCATATGCATACATACATATACCGATTACACATACTTATTCTACGAAACTTCATAGGTAACAATCGCATAACGCGGACAGTGAATAGTGCAATCCTCAAATAGAATATCTTATCACATTTTATGAAAAATTTCGCTTATATTTGTTGAGCTTAGAAAGAGAAAGAATTCAATATTAAGTAAGGCATACATAGGGAAATTCCAATTATTTGGTAGTAATGGTGGGCGCACCAACTCAGCTTAGTAAGCTTAAAGGCTTTCATGCCTCTTTCTCAAAGCGTTTCCAATGCTCAAAATGGTTCCATAAATTCCAACATATTGTAAGTCGATCTAGGTACACCTAGTCTTTCCGTTTTTATAATGACATTGCTGGAAATTTACCCAACCGCAAAAATTAAGATGTCGCCTTTAAATTTAGTAAACAAATTGAAAGTTCCTTAGGTCAATGGGCACGCCCACAACACAAAATAAATAGAGAACAACTCGTTTCATCCCTACATCACTTGTGGTACTTGAACTTGGAATAGATCCGCCTTTTATTATACTGAATCGAACTGTGAAGTGTCTTGACTCCTCTGACCGTCTAGTTTTCTTGCGTTTGCACGCAGGCATTTTTCGGTTCATGGAGGAACGCTATTGAGAATGCTTCGGATCGGCTCACTTTTTCGACCACTTCTCATATAAATCTTTATTTTAAAAAGTCTTTACATGAATAACACGATTAAGCGAACTGGCGTAGAGTATTTAATGGTTAGACGTATCCCACTATAGCGTTTATATTTTGTAATAAAGGTGAATAAACTGATTGTATTGCTTATCTCTCGTAAACTACACCAGGTTCAACTATATAACGACAAATTCCATATCGTGGGCATCTGTACGAAAATTGAACAAATCGGCCAAGCATACTTAGTATTATACAGTATCAACAATGCCGAATAGTAAGCCGTTCAAATCGATTAATTGCTGTTGATAACATCCGGTATTAATCGTCTCAGTGATCTTTAACAGTTAATAGCAGACCGCGCACTTTTCCGCCCATACCAAACATAGAATATCGTCTTCCTGCCAAAGCGATTCAGTCTTGCAATGTGCATAGCACAGCCATGGACCCAACCATGAATATTTACGTGGATTCTCAAAATCCATTTTTTTCCCTCATTTTCATATGATGCAATCATATCTTTTGCGTTGTTTGAACAGGGAAAAAATGTTCTCGGAGAAGGTTTTTTATTTAGCGAAGAACTTCTGCTTTTTGGAAGAAAGTACTTTCGAGTTTCGCTATGTGTTTGTGTTATTAGGGCTTATTGTTGGCAGACGTTCACAAACAACTTGAGACGTGCTCGTCCACAATACGTCTCATGAAGCTCATCGATGTTCGAATTGCGGTTTCGTATTTCCATGCCTAGCAACTGTCATCAAGTTTGTGTCTTAAAATTGTTCGTTATACCTAATCGTTTTAGTTGAAATCCAGTAGCGTTAGGATGGAAATTAATGAAAGAGTGATTTAGGCGGAGTCAAGTTTTTGACGCATAAAGCTAAAAGAACTTAACCGAGTCTTTCACTTAGTGGCTTTTTCGCTTGGCATTACGTTGCTAGGAAAGTTTTGCATTCTGATGTCGCACAAAGCATAAAAAAAAAAATTTATATCTGGGCTGCAGTAAATATCTTTTCTTTTAGGTGAAGTGAACTAAGGCGCGTGATGCCGGGCGATGTAGGAAGATCATGTTTCGTTAGAAAAACGTGGCATGTTTCATTTCACAACTTGTACCTTACTCTTTAAATATTTCGTTGTTTTCTGAGCAAAAGTTTTCCGTTTGCTGTCATATAAAAACAACTCCTTTCGACTTAAAATTTTATTTAATTTGTTCATTAAGAAAATTTTAATCATTTATTAATTTATATACAGTTACAACGCCAATTATAATACAACCCATTTGCACGCCAGCTATGCCTAGACTGCTGTAAAGTATAACGTGCAACTTAGTGTTCCAATAATCAAGAAATACGTCAAGGCAGCCGGGTATGTTTTTATATCCCTCCGTAGCGCACATCTCAATGTCTAAATTGCAGCACGTGAACGGCACTTTTTGAAGTCTGCTGATGTAATCTTTGTAATCGTGAACACCACAACATTTGAACTGCAATGATTGCGAGATATAAATAAATTGCTGAGGAAAATTGTGATCATATTCAGAAAGCCTTTAATTATTCAGGAGTATGTTGTGAGACCGGGACTTTTGAATATCGCTACTTAGAGGCGAAATAAATATATGTTTATATATGAGTCCTACCAAGAAGGAGGTACATTGCCTTCTTCTTTACCGAGGAAAACATTGAGGGAAACAAATTTTAATTTTCTAATTTCCTCGTGCGCCTCTACTAAGATGTAAAAATTGTTGCCTACGATTGACTAATACGTGAACTTTGTATCTTTTCAGCTACGTGCTAAACGAATATACGTCCATAGTTTATGATCCCAAGTTGAATTTTTGAAACGGATGGATATGTCACTTAATACTTTACAGTACAAAAGGAAATTCTGCTCTCATGACTGGTGACTGTTAATTCTAATGCGACGACTTAATGGAAAGAGAATACATACTGCCATCGCAGTAAAGCGTCCATCGCATTCATTGATTCGTCGTTGTGCTCCCAAACTTCATCAATAAATTGGGCCGCGAGCTGTACGAATGCGTCTTCTTTCACACAAAAGAAAGTTATCAAGAACAAATGCACAAGGAAGGCTAGACACATCAAGATAACGTACTATTAAAATAAAAGAAGAATGAATTAGAAAAAAAAAAAGAAAAATTTAATACATTTTCGCGTTTATGATACTTACAATGATGAGAAGCTTGGCATTATTATATCTAGCACCGACGCATCCAAAAATTGATATAAAAGCTATCACAAATCCCAGTATAATAATGATGCCTGGGACTGTATCGATATTAGTTACAAATTCTTTACTGAATATGTGAATAGACTCTATGGCGTATAGAATAACTGATCCGAAAATTATTAAAAATAAGCCGCATAACTAAAATCCAAATATATATATATATATATATATATATATAAATCCTATGAGAATAAATTGTTTTTGATATTTATGGCCCTGACCAGTAATACGAAAACTGCTTGACTAAGGAGTATATCCGGCTGCCGTTCAGAACTTACTAATACAATAACGAAAGTTTTCGCCTAATATGGGAAGTTGGGTATCTTTGATGAGGCTTAAGCAATGCCTTGTCAAGAAACAATATTGATTAATTCCATATTCAAAAAATAAAACTTCCATTCCTGATTCCTTCTAGTGGGATCGAATTAAATATCCGCGAAGACTTTAAAAGGAACTCTTTGCAAACCCAAAGAGTACCCAAAAAGACACTTAGCAAGCATCCAAATAACACAATGCAATGAGTTCACCGTCACGAGAAGCTTAAAAGCACGAACCCAAATCCCAAACCAAAATATTTGAAAAATGTGATCCTAATTTCTATTTCGTTTGCACGTTAGTCCCAATCGATCCTTCATTAGCTCAGCCACGCATTCACTCTATAATGTATATAACAATCGCTGCAATTTTCACTAACTTGTTTAACCTCTTCATGATTATTCCTAATCTTTCAAAATTTTGAAGGAAACAATACGGCTAAGGTCTATGTTTTAGCAGACCTAAGGCTTCATATTTGCAAGAACTTCATTTTATTTATCATCAAGTTTAATGGTACATCCACGTAACCCACGAAACTATGGTGAAATGACGTGCTATGCTATGATATTTATCATGGATCAATTTCGTCGAAACGACTTGAAATTACATATTGGAGTCAGCAAAATAGACGTCGCGGCACACGAAAGACTGATTGAAAAATGAAGAAACTCAACAGGACACGATCTTTTCTACTTTCTTTAAATGGCCGATCATTCACTTCGACGTTTAATGCAGTGGTGGTCAGGAGGAAACGGACAGAGAGAACGTAGAAAGAAATTGGAAGGAAGAAATAATAGCAAGGTACGCGCCCGATCAATAAGTGTGTGTGCGTTGTACGTGGTACGTGATGGTCAGGGACCTGGGAATGACATTATTACTATTATGTTTAATGAAGAAAAGTATCTCGATTTTGTTCATTTATCGTCAAATACTTGAGAAGCTTGAGAAACGAGAAAAAGTTACTACTAACCAGGGATCTCGCAGATAGCCTGTCATTTTTTTTTAAATTAAATTTTCAAAAAGAAAGCCGATATATATTGAATACACTGGAGGTAAAAATTTCGGAGGCTACAAGGCGATTGCCTGTCGGATTATTAGCAAATGTTTTCATACAAATTTTCGGTCAAATAGCATCTCGATGTCTCGATGGTAGGCAATAGACTAAGTGAAGTATTTACATACTAAGTGCTTTTACAACGTTGCGGTACTCTTCCTTCATTTTTCGTTCGCTACAAGGTCGGAATATCTTCCATATGCTTGACGGATTCTTACATCACACTATAACCGTTCCAGCCTTCTTTCCTCTTATTTGTGACAACTAGTTTCTTTTATTTACATAAGTTATTGTAATATTTAATGAAGAGCAGCTTACCACAAATATTAAATTAATTATATAAAAAATACAATTGCAAAACCAAGCAAAAATTTTTTTAAACATGACAACAATAAATTTATTAAGAAGAAGAGCCAAATGTTTTTATTTTATTTTTTCTTTTCGTCTATTTTATTTCAAATAATAGTTTAATTAATATCAGTGTAAAAGATAATAATTAAGAAGAAAACAATCATTTTAACGCAATCACTAAACGGAACTGTGAAAATTGAATTTGATTAACGTACGTCCGAAATTTTCTTGTGTCAAAATTGAACAATTATCTGGAGGGATATTAGAATTCAGTTGATAAATGGTTCGGATCATCTATTTAACGAACCTGCCATTATTGCTTAACAGCC